TTGCATGCAAATGGTGCACCGGGGCGGGGCGGGGATTTATGCCACGTGGATTTTTTTAACGTGGGTTCTGTGGATTCCTTGGATGCAGACTTTGTGCATGAAGCCACAGCAGCTGTAAGGTGAGGGAGATGAGCTGTGTGACTTTGGTTGATAGAGCTGCTCAGATGATATTACTGACTGAGCTCTCGGGTCTCTGCCCTGGGGATTTATCATTGAAACAAACAATGGCTCCTGGTAAGGGAGCTTTTTGCCAGACATAAAGCTCTGCTGCTGAGGGATTTCATGATAACATTATCTCTGAAGCATATTCTTCCATTGGTAATCCTCTCAATTCCATGTTCCCCTTGGTTTCTGTTCTTGTCTCCGGCAATCCCCAGTTGCTAGTTTGTCTCATCTCCCTTCCCTGTGCCGGTAAGTCTTTAGCTCCATGTCTCGCACCACAGGGCAACCTAGGTGCAACGGGGAAGGGGCTTTGCGCATATTCCTTGAGCACCTGCGTGACTGATGCAGTAACAACAGTACAACCCCCCTTGGTGGTGTAGTATCAAGCCCTGGCGAAGGAGTCTGAGAAAACAAAACCTTAACTTCCCTTGGGATTCAACCAGAGGGAAGCAATCTATTTTTGGCCATCAGTAACTGAGATTTTGGATCATGTTTTTGTCACGTCCCCTTTACTTTGCACGCTCTGATCAGCTTGATTGGGATTATCCTTATGAAAGATAATTGCGTACGTGTTTTATCCCTTGCGGGCTCCTCCGTGGGTCTTTTTTTTTTACTACAATCAAATTGAATAATAATTTAACTTAAGCGTCTTAGGTACTCTTAGCAAGACACTGCTGTCCTGCGCCGATCCAAATTTTAGCCTTCCGTTCAGGAAGACAGATCCTGGCTCCTGAGTACAGCAGTGGGGAAAAAAGAAAATCTAATACCCAACTGCCCAGAATCCTGCACCTAGCTACCGCTGTGGTAGGGGACAGAGCACCACATTTTGATGCGATGCATCAAAAATGACGTGTAAAGTCCCTTACTGACTCCGTAGCATGCAGCTGTTCCCAAAGCTATGCATGTTCATCCTACGGTACTAAGAAGTAAAAACAAGCCCACTCTCTTCGGCTATGGAGGGGGAAACACAAAAAGGTGTTAAAAAAAAAAAAAATGTTCTCCAAGGGGTTGGGAAACTGTTGCTTTGAAGAGCCCTAGCCTTGAGCGATACTCAAAACCACCCGTGGGCTCCAAAGGAGAGTTTTAACTCTGGAAGGTGGGGTTGGGCCCCGTCACAGCAAGAGGACTTCCAAATAATGCAAGTCTTACAGTGGTTTCCCTTGAACTAGATATTTAATTTGGCTTTAATGACGGGTATTGTGTGTTAATCACCCATTAATTAAAAGCACGTATTCCTACTTAATGATGGCATAATAAAAGCAGACTTCATTATTCAGCTGCAAAAAAAACACCCGGATCGGACGCGGTTTTAATAATCAGACAGTATGTCATTAGCGCAAATCACTATCACATTGCAGTGAAATCAAATCCGTTTGAAACACTTAAATTGAAGGTAAGGTTGATCTGCGCCAAGGACTGTGTTGCATCGCAGACCTTTCATCCTTTCCTTGCGCTGAACAAAGACAGCCATGTCCGATGAGTCCGGTGCGTTGCGACCTCTTCCACTATTTAATCCTGACATGAAATTGCAGCTAATGGGCACGCACTGCCCTTCTTTACCCCTTTTCCTTTCTCTTTGCTTTCATCTCTCTCTCTTTCTCTTTTTTTTCCCCATCCACTCTCAATTTTGATGTTGAAACTGTACAAATTGAACACCCCCCCCTTCCCTCCCCCATTTTTACTTCAGGAAATCACCAAGCGAGAAGAAGCGAGTGGGCAGTTAAGCTGTATTCAGCTGCCTGTCGACTCGTCGGTGGTACGTAAGAGCTCAGCATGAACACCCCCCGACGCCGTCTGGTCGTTGTCTCTTTCTGTGGTGACTGGTCACACGCCATGATGCTGTTCTCATTGTAGTAGCCGTCATTACTTTTTGTCATCGTTGTTGTTGTTGTCAAGTTAGCCTTGATTTTAAGTCCCTTCCTTCTTTGTGGAGTCAGACGAGTTAATGCAGAGACCCTATCATCCAAAACCTGCCCGACTTTCCTGCCTACGGCGGCTCTTTTGCTTTGACCCGCCCCGTGAAGGAGAGCTTGCAAAAGGCTCTTTCAACAGCCGCTCGCCAAAGCAAGCATTTGGATTGCACGTGCTTCCCGGGAGAGGGGTGGGGGGAGGGCGATGTTTTATGGGCAAGTGTGCCGAATACTTCCCTTCTTACACACGCTGCTCCTTGTTCCTTCAGAAGACCCGTCCGCTCGTGCACGTCAACTCCAGCCCCTCAAACTGCGGGGGGCAGAGCAGAGACAACTGCCAAAGACTGAAGGGACCTAGAATCAAGCGTGCTCATGGACACGTGTGTGTAACGGCCCTGTGCTCTGGAGAAGTCGATGCTAGCACTGAGGCAGCGGCAAGGCCCACCGCCAGGTCAACCAGATGATGTGGTCCAGCTGCTGAATGGCTCTGGCTTGTGTTATGTAGGAGATGGTCATGGTCCCTCTCGGCCTTTCCATTCGTGAATCTATTCAATCAAGTGAACCCAACTGTGCCTCCCCTGTCCACTCACCCCCCTGCCTCCTCAGACATCTTTCTCTCTTTTTTTTTCTCACTCCCTTTCTTTTCTGTCCTTTCCTGGAAGCTCTGCCTTATATCTTAGCACAAAAGCCCTTTGTATTGTATTCAGGCACATTTCTCTTGCCTTCTGTACATGTTGGCTTATCCATGGTGCCATATGGTCCACCTTGGCATACTGTAATTGTTCACAAGGTTTTTAACTCCATGTTCTCTCATCAACCCTCTTCCATCCAGAAAGGCAAGCTGGGACCACGCGAACAGGTAACGGCCGCAGGCCCCTGCCATGAGATGCTTGCTTGTAGCCGTCCTTCACGTGGCCCTTGTGCTCTTAAAGGGTGATGGTGTCTTCTTCTACAGCAGGGATGCTTCCCGTCTGAAAGAGTTGGGGTTTGGTGCTGGGTGGGTGGCAAACAGAAAACCTCCTTTAGTCCTGCTTCTCCGTATACCTGTGCATTTCTAACAGCACCTGGTGTTATCCCCTGGATGGTTACCGAATGGTTCAGGAATGCAACTTTAACCAGGCAAACTATTCCCGTTGTTTATTGGTTTTTAATAGCCCATTAATGAAAAGGGACTAATTACTGGCAGGCCTGCTGACCAGAAAGAATTGGGAGGCTTTCCAGAAGGGACGGGAAGGCCTGAAGCCAGCTGGAGTCCATGTTCCACCGAAGAGACCGAGTTTGGAAAATCTGCCCAAATTAGCCAGTGTTCATTGAATATTCTTGCTCAGAAGGTATAGCCCTACCACTTGAAAACTTTGCCTGTCCTGCAGGGTGGATTTCATCAAATAACACAAGTTTCCTGCAGGACAAGAAGACATTTTACATGCCAGGGCTGTTTTTTCATTCCTTCTCTCTTGCCCTAATGGCATTTCTCTGAGAGCCCATGGTCTGAGTGGAGCAAACCCTACCTATTTAGCAGGACCAAAGGAGGAGTGTGTTCCTCTGAGAAATTGGACCCAATCCTCGATTCTTTAGTCAGGCAATGCTCCTGTGGCTTTCAAGGTGGGTTTTGCCTGAATTAAGGAGTACCATCCTGGGTCCTGTATTGCATATCACCTCCTGCAGTCTGCTACTTTGGCACTTTCCTCTTGGCTGGGGCCTTCAACTACCAAGTCTCTCTCCAAGCACCAAACCTCATCAGGGCTCTTAGTAGCACAGCTTGGTGTTCACTGTAGATGTTGGGGTCTCTTATGCACCTAGATTTTCCCTGGCTAAGGTAAGAGTCTGCTTGGCTTCTCTCCTGTCGCTGCATTGACCTACCCACCCACCTTCCCACTTTCCCTGCAGTATACATCGTACCAATGGATGGTGTCCTCTGCCAGAATAGTGGCTTCATCAGAAAAGCAGCCCCTCTTCAGATGGAAATAATTCTGGCAAGCTCCATTTCCAGCTGATGTATTCTGATCACACCACCCCCCATGTGCCTTTCCTCAGTGCCAATGGACAGAATGGAAGAGGGCTGGGCAGGGAAGGCCTTGACTGGGTCTGTATAAGTTGTCAGTAATTCCTGAGTTGCAGATTTGACAGAGCACGATGAACAAGGGAAATAATAAGCAATGGTGGTAAAACTTGTAACACAGCTTTGGAGAGGGGCCCACGGTAGCTCGTGGATACGTTGCTGGTGTCAAGTCGTCATCAGAATGGGAGATCCCACCACCGGCATTCTGAATTGTTCGGTGGGACCCAAGTAAGCCCCCTAAAATAAATGCATCTGTTGTATTTTATAGCATTGAGATAAATAGCCAGTATGGCTATTTATCCCCTTGTCGTATTTTATCAGGTTGTCCTTCATTGGATCTCCAAGTGCTCCTAGGGCGTTCTGAACCATTTCAGTGGCATGCATCCATTATCTGCTGAGTCCTGTAGGCCCAATCCTGTCTGTCCCTTGCTGAAGTTTGGATCATTTCATCCAAACTTCAGTGAAAAGAGTAGTGTGAGTGCCTGCCCATCTGTAATGGGTTCTAATTGGCAACGATGGTGTCGAGAACAGATGAGGATTCGGTTTTCATCCAGTGGGCTGTTCACTAGATCCAGGTCCTTTCCCTAGTGTCTGTCCAGTGTGGGACTGCAGCAGGGAAAGCCAAGTTATCTTTCTTTGCCTCTGCCTCCTGGCCGCTTTCAGAGGCGGCAAATCTACCCTTTAGGAGAGTAGTTCTGTGGTATAAATATGTGCATGCCTCATTCTGTGGAAGGTGATGTCCCATTGTGGTACCAGTTCCAGTGGATCACTAGGTGTGGCGTTGGAGACGGGATCCAGTGTTCAGCAGGGGTGTCCCGGCTGCACATTGTCATTTATCCCAGTCGCTAAGCTGCTGTGTTTTGCTCTAGGGAGATGTGTCTAAGTCTGATTCGGAGGGGGATGTTTTCCCCCCAAGCCTGGAAGAAGAGAGTGGACTGAAGAAACACTTGTCAAACCCAGCCTGTAAGTAACGGCCCTGGTGACCAGCCTTTCTAGGGCAATGTCACTTTGGTATGAAAAATCATGTGTCCAGGAAGGTAAAGCTTATCTTAGGAGAGTGTTTGAGAAGTAACCAGGCCCCTACTGACTCCATGAAGTTACAGTGGACTTCAGATATGAGTTACAGGTCACGAATGAAAGGCAAAGAGATGCAGTAGTGTTAGAGACCATTATCTCCCAGTAAAACTGAAGATCCAGCTTTGATGCTATATAAAATATAATATGTAGGGTTGATAATGAGAGAGGGCAACAGCAGAGAGCTGCTGCGTGCGGTTACTCCCCAGACGGTTGCCACATCTGTGATGCTCAGACAGGGCAGAGGGAGTGGTCAACATGACCTTGCAGTAAGGGAGGTTTCTTGCCTGCAAGATAGAGGATGTCAGGAGATGGGGAGAGTCAGAGCGAAGGGGAAGGGGAAGGGGAAGGGGAAGAAACTTGAAGCCAGACAGCATGCTCAGGCAGGTGAAGTGAAGGAGTGTAGATAAAGAAGTAAAGATGGAGAACAGAATGGGGAAGAGGGAGTGTAAAAGAGCTCTTGGAGAAGGGAAACTTTGGGGAGCAAAGCCTGGCAGATTATGAAAGAGATTTCAGAAATGCAGGAGGGTGGAGAGAGGCCTGTGTGGCAGATTGGTACTTGCATAGCAACAGATTGGCAATCCCGAGTCTGTGCTTGCACACTTACGCTCCATCAGTTGAATTCGAACCCCTGAGTAATGCAACTTCGGATCCAAAACTTCAACAGAAGCCCCACCTGCCACTCATTCATTAAAAACCTTTTTTGGCATTGAATGAAAACCAGCTCCTCTGTGATGGTGCTGGCCTCTGTCCTCTCAATGTCCTGATTAGAAAGGGCTCTGTTAGTGTTGCCGCCCATTTAGTCAGCCCCAGGCATGAGTTCAATGATTCATTTTTGGTTCCTAGGGCAGCAGTATCTGATACCTCCTTGTTTCTTCCAGTGATGGCCTTGAGTGACCACCCCGAACTGAAGAAAAGTCTGACTCCACCCCTCATCATACACACAGCTGCCACCCCAATGCCAATGCCAAAGAGTGCCATGTTTGGAGATGCAGCTCAAGGCTATGAGTCTCGCCGGGCCAGCAGCGTCTCCATGGATCCCAGTGCCCATGAACTCAAATCTCCGGTAGGCACATCATTTTCTCTGTTACCCTTTGTGATTGCTTCATTTCTACTTGGTTTATGTCAGAGGCGGGCAAAATGCGGCCCGCCAGCCCATTCTATCTGGCCCGCGGGACCCCTAAAAAATTTGGAAAATTAATATTTTTCTGCCCCTGGCTGCCTGTCATGCAGCCCTTGATGGCTTGCCAAAACTCAGTAAGTGGCTGTCCGCCTGAAATAGGATCTTGTGTAGACGCAACGAGGGGCACGTGTGCACGACAGTTTAAAGCGGGTTAAATGCCTTTGCACCGCTTTAATGGTGTTGGTGTTGGCACACATCGGCACCCCTGGTTTATGTGGCCATCTGTCTAGGTATTCATTCTCCACTCACCACCTCAGTATCTTTAAGCCCGCCTGTTGAAAATGGGCAATGAGCTAGTATCAAAGGGCATGTGTAAATGAAAGAGGGGCCCTAAATGTGAAGCAATGGGTTTTTAAAAACACCACTTCAATTTAGGGCCCTTTACACCCCCATGTCGTGCACACACACAAACTTACCTACCTCTCCGGTGGCGGGGAAGGGAAGGGAGAGCAAGCTGCTGGTGGGTGAAGCAGTCCCTGGGCTGCAGGGGGGCTGCTGCTTCCCTCCGTAGCAGTGGTGCCCCCCCAGGCAGTACCCACCTGCAGCCACGCAGCTTGGGTGGTCCCAAGGGGCACCACAGCCACAGAGGGAAGCACTGGGCCCCCGCGCAGCTCAGGCAGGCAGGCATGCTCCAGGGGAGGGGGGCAAAAAAGAGAAAAATCAGGTTTGCCACTTTTTTTTCTTTCTTGGGCAGAGCCTGCCTCCCCGGGCTGCTGCCAGGCTGCCCGCAGGGCTTCCTGCATGGAGCCCGGTGCTTCGCTCCACAGCTGTAGGGCAGCAAACTAAAACTCGGAGGAGGAGTTTTAGTTTGCTGTGCCCCAAGTCATTTAAGGTTCATTACGCGGCCGAATTTGCTACAGCGGCTGGAATTACTGCGCAATACGCCGCCGACATGTGCCAACACCATTAAAGCGGTGCAAAGGCATTTAACCCGCTTTAAATTGTTGTGTGCACATGCCCCTCGTTGCGTCTACACAAGGCCAGAGACATTTGAGTTGATTCTCTCCACATCCTTGTTCCTTCCTCAGTCCAGCATACGGAGCTCTCCTCACAGCCCTTGGAGTGCAGCCAGCAGCTGGAATAGTCGCCGGTCAAGCTGGAACAGCATTGGGCGAGCTCCCAGCCTAAAGCGCCGGGGCCAGAGCGGGGAACGCAAGTCGCTGCTATCTGGAGATGGGAAGGAGAGTTCAGAGGATGGGGAAAGCTCTGATGAGGAGCAGTCCAGTCGGGCCGGGAGCATCAATGGCTCTTTACCTCACCGCATGGGATCGCTGGAAACGAAAGGCTCATTTGACCTCCAGGACACCTTGCAGGTGCCTTCCCTTTACCGAACCAGCAGCATGTACAGCAGCCGAACCTCTGCATCAGAGCATCAAGACTGCAATGGGAAAACTTCCGCAGGGGCCCTGTTACATCAGTTCCATTTGGATGATCCCAGACAAGACTGTGATGACTGTGATGACGAAGGCAACATGGTAAGCAAAAGCTAGCAGCTGTTTCTGCTTCTTGGTGTGCATGTTTGAACTGATGCCAGCTCCCCGAGGAGCACGGTGCTACAGAGCGCAAGCAGCTGTCCTCTGCAGGATCTGTTTCTTACCTGCCTTCATGCACCAGACCAAAGAATACAGTGTAAGCCGTGCATATGAGCTACAGCAGGCACCTGGGTTATGGGAGCCCACTTCCCCTAGCACCACTTATACTGGTTGATGTTTCAGACTTCAGTGCCATGTCGCATTAGAGCTCTGAAGTAATCTTGGGCCCTCAGTTCTTCCTACCCTACCAAGTCCTATACATGTACACTGCGCTTTATGAAAGGACAAGCCATGGTCCTGGCCCTAGACATGTCAGGGTAGCCCTGGGCTGAGCACATTTGCCCCTCCACTTATCCAACAAGAAGGCTCTATACATTATCAGCCCCCACACAAAAGCATCCCTTCTGTAAATGTTCTCTTCCATGGCCCTGAGATCTCTCAGTGCTTGTCAATTTGCAGCGGGAGAGGAGAGGAGAGCAGGGCGGGGGGGGGGGGGGGGGGAAAAAAGGCAAAA